AAGGTGCGTTTCTATCAGTCTTCCTACCATTATGACCAAGTTGCGAAAACAAGGTCAAACAACTTTTACTCTACTTATGTTAGCTCATTTTTCTATTCGATTTTTTCGTCCATTGCAATTTATTTTTTATTCATTTTTGATCGATGTATCTTTGTCTGGTATTGCTAATTGTCTTCGTTTTATGCTAGCCAGGACCTGTTTCATGTACTATTTTTATGTAGCCGTTTACATGGTGTATACATATTTTGGACTTATTCTAGTTAGCCTTAAATGATTACCTTTTCTCACCTGGATTAAATTTTTTTTGTTTTCGTTCTTAAGTAGGTTTCAAGACTACCCTTATATAATATATATGAAATGTACTCACCTTCTTTCGTTTAAAGTGGAGAAGGATTCGTTGAATTTTCTCACAGTTTTATGATTAGGCTATTGAATTTCGCTTGGCCTTGCTTCCCAAAAGTATTATTATTTCAGGTGGAATGCGATTTTTACCTCTTTTAGGTCTTAGCAGTCTTGTTACCCAAGAGCACTCGTGGCTGTATGACATTGTGTTTAACGTGTCAAAGCTAAAGTTGCACGATCCGAATTCTAGTTCTGATAGAGGTTTTAATGAGACCTAGGCGAGGTCGAAACTACAGTTCACCATGGATTAAAAATATCTTTTGGGAAGTAAGTCTAGGTGAAATTGAATGGGAAGCTGAGGTCTACTCATATTATTGTGGGAACTTTAACTAGAAATCATCATCACATTAAAGGAAATAGAATGAATGTATCTTGTAATTATTTTTCTATTCTCTATTCTTTTCATATCTGTGTATGTATTATATTATATTATTGAAACGGATTTTTCTTTTCCGCATATATGAACAGTACCTTATTTTTCAATGATTATTTCGACTGATTTTTGAATTTTTTCTAGCAGAATTTATCGAATAGTTCAGGACTTGGAAATTCAAAATAAAACAATTTTTCGTATGTAAGTAGAATTTTTAGACTACCAACTCATAAAATAAAGCAACTTATTCAATTCGTCTGAACTTGCTTTCGCACCTTGGTTGTATTGTCATATAGTATGTTCCACAATGTCTCGCTGACGATCCTACCAGGTTGCGAAAACTAGGTCAGACCAACTATAAAGTTAAAGGAGACTGCAGCCAAAGAGAAGGCGACCATCTTAGTCTTTATATCTACGATCTTCTTACCATGTTTGCAGATATTAGGCATTGTTTTCACGGGTCATCTTCTTGATTGAACTCATGTACTCTGAGCAAACTCTGCACGTCTATCCTTGATCACCTGTTACCTTTCGAGTGGATTTACAGCCAATTTGAATATAATGCCAAATTTCTGTGACGATTGTGATTATCCGTTTCCCCCATCACGTAAGCGCCTGCCCCCTAACGTTGTAGTTATTTCTTCGATCAGACTTTACTCACTGAAAACGCCTTCGCTTGATTTCTGCAACTTCTTCGCGATCCCTTTTTTCTCTGTTTAACGATAGATCCTTTATCCAGGCATCTTTTCGTGTCCTTGTTTTCTCCGAGTTTGCTTATGCAATATACAAAGTTATCACTAACTATCTTCTTCCAATCTCCTGTTCATTAAATTTCTTTCTCCAAGGATGTCAATGACCTCCTAAATTATCCGTTTCCTCGTGTTTTCATCGTATGAAGCCCTTCTTTATTTTGCCTTCCAATTGATCTCATGTCCAGTCTGTGCTGTGTTAGCATAGGAATCAAGGAATGTCAAAAGACTCTGCAGGAAAATATATATCGAAAGACCAAAAATAGCTAAACATTTTGCACAGACCGGGCACGAGATCATTTGGAAGGCAACAGAAAAAGGGCCTTATATGGTAAAAAAAGACGAAGAAACGAAAGATTAGGTAGGCCATTGAAATCCTTGCAGAAATAAATTTAAGGAAAGAACAGATCGGAGGAAAGCAGAATTGGCGACATCTTCGCCTATTGCCTAAGCAAACTTGGGGAAAACAAGAACATGCTAAGACAAGCAAAAGTCGCCTGGATACAGGATCTGTGACCACTATAACAGAGGTCTTAGGACAAGGTGCGTCCAACTAAAGCACTTTGACTATACGACCAAGTTGCGAAGACGAGGTCAGTCCACTTCTATACATGGAAAGGAAAATGACCAAAATTTAGGCCACAACATATTGGCTTTCACATCATTTTATTTAAATGTTCACTTTTTTTCATTTGCCATTTTCTTAAAAACTTAACTTTAAATATGTTGTATAAGGCATGAGCTCTTTTTACGCTGGTTTTAATCTCATATTATGTTGATTATACTCCCATATTAATAACTATTTTTATTTGTCACATTCGTTTTGTCCACTGTCTTTTCTCAACTAGCCGGCTGACACCACTTCTTTGGGCACCAGCTATGGCGGTCCTGGTGTCCGACTCGCCAACTTCACAATTGGAGCCGGTGCAGCTAACGAGACTCTTCTACTCTCTCGTATCCGCACTACCTCGTTGAATGAGGACCCGCTTATCACGCGTGGGGGAGGTCCCCCAATCCTTCCATCGCCCATAAATGAGGCAGATCAGAGTGCTTCTCTAGGGGCTTCCTTACCTATTGCTGCTACCAGCAGCGCTTCGAATTCCAATGAGGCATCCTCCTGCCGAATTATTAGACAGTCATCTCGATTTTCCATAGTGAGTTGTTCCACTAGTGGCATTGGCAGTCGAGAATGGGCCTTGTCTGGGGGTTTGGAGTCAGCTAGCTGTTTTAGTACGCCCAGCCAGCTTGCCGGTGATATAGCTTCAAGTGAAGCTCATCACACTCTTACAGCTGGTATTGAGTCTTCATTTGCTGGTGCCACAACTACTCCAGCTAACTCTTCAGCAAGGAGAGCAGTAAGTCGACTCTCGCCTAGATCAGAGGAAGGATCTTCATTGGAGCCTGCTCATTTAGTAAACTCGTCTTTCAATAATGAAGAATCAATGCAACTTGGCGAAGATGAATAGGCATATAGCCGAAGGCACTCACGATTTTCTGCTTGACCTTTTCCCCGTATGCTTTCTTCCTGTATAAATGTCCTATTCTTATTATATTCAAATTCCTGAATAAATCTCATTGAATTTTAAACTCTTTTTTTATGTAATGCCATTTTGTATGCGTGGAATCTCTCTTTTTGCTCCAATTTTTGCATGCAAATTAAGATTTACACATTTTCTATTCTACTCTGCTTCACTTTTACTACTTAATGGGCATTATAATTGTGCAGATGTTTTTTTGCACTTTCCTAACCTCGTTAACTGTTCGAATTTCTGTCCCTATCGTAGGTATCGGGTTTGCACAATAGTCTTCATTTACTACTTTTCACGATTAATATAATGGGCTCCTTTTGAGTCTGTATCTGTTATACTAAATCTAAACGAATTTACCAGAGCTATTATAATGGTATTCATGGATTATGTTACTGCCATTTTCTTTTTAGCGTATTTCTATATCTGAAAATAATCGAGGATTAAACTCTTAACGAAACCTTAGTTTTTCCTTCCAAATTAATTTTGTACAGACGATTTATTTTAATATTATGAAATTACTAATTATGCTTGAGAAGCCAGCGGAATTAAGATTTTTACAGGTCTTATGTCTTCTAATCAGCTGGCTTTTTAGAGTGGCATTTCAATCTAATTCAATTTTCCATTATATTTTTTTTGCCAGTTTAAGTTTCACATTTAAGTTGGCTTCGGATTTATTTCATTTGACTGTCTTTGCTTTTATTTACCTTCCAGTCTGCGGTCGTCTCATGATTTATGCGGCTTTCCTTAATTCATGCCATCGTTGGCCTTTTCTGTCACTGGCACTCTTGCCAATCTTGCCGCTGTTCACCATTCATTCACCCTCTTCTCTTAGTTTTAATAGCTGGTATAGTCTGCTCTGATCCACATCTTCTTTCCGATCTGCTAGCTAATCGACCTGATATTCGGAATCATTTGGCTATCTCAAGAACCATACAAAATGCCGCTGGCGAGCCCGAAATCTACCATTTGTTCGGATATTCGGAAGAAAGGAGTCGTCCCAAACCTGCCTGGCCGCCTGAATTCATTTTACTGCTCGAACATCAACCTCTCGATGGGCCAAAAACTTCTGTCCTTTGGAACCTTACGAGTGGCGTTGAGTTGGTCTATCTCAGCTATCCAGCTACCTTGCCTAAGGAACATGGGCATGATTACTGTATATTGCTTTCTCAGAATCACATCAAGAGCCCCATACAAAGTTTGTGGCCCTCCACTATCTCACTTGCAGCCGGAATCACAGGCTTCCCTGCAAATTTGACAGATTTCAGTAGTTTATTTTTCTATTGGCTTTCTCAGCACCAACTGCCCCTATTGCATCGCGTGCCAAATTCGCTTGACACTCTTAGTCTTTTGGTTAGACACCTTGTGTCTACAGACCAGATAGCTGGTGAGGCCGAGCGCCGATTGGCCCGTTTCTGTATGAACCTTCTTGGTCCCCGTACGTTTTTGCTACAATTAACTCAACCCAAGCCCCAAACTTCTTTACTTTGGCCCTGTTATTCTGAATTTGATGGAGAACCTGAATACGGTAAAACGTTTTATCTTAGTAGAAGAAGCCCGCTTATCCGTCGAATAATGCCGCATAAACCTCTCTTGAACCTGCCTTCGTGCCGAGAAGTAGGACAGGAGCTGGCCGGTCTTATACAGCTAAATATGGACTATAGCTTATCTTCAGATGAGAATTCTAGGAATATAGAGAAGCTTCTCACTCCTGTAGAATGCCGATGTCAATTAACACATTGTCTACTCTGGACTCCTGGTCTTCGTTTTTCTAACTCTGAGTCATATCGTCATGCCCAGGGTCCATCGGCCACTAGTTCGGGGTTCGGCTCTTTTCGGGTCGAGCAACCAATAGTCGATAGATTGACTTCCATGATCCCTGACCGTCAGTTTGCGCAGTCTCTGTTCAACCTTTCTACCAGAGCAGAGGTTGATGATTCACCTTTAGTTTTAACTGCCCATCAAGACTTTGCTGACTCGGATTTGATAAGTCGAATATGGGCTGATAATGGGCTTGTCAAAGAGAAGGGAGAGGAATATAAGGCAGCCGAGGCAAGATTTTGTACGTTCGAACCTTGTAGACGCTGTTTTACTTTCGTTTTTCAGACATCCTTGTCCGCCTTGTCTGCTTCTGATGCTCTTACTTTCCATAGTAACGGGAATACATCTTACTCTGCTTTTTGTCCTTGGCATCTTATGCCAATAGTTTAGCTGAGCTCTTCTTTCTTCTTTAGTCCACATAAAAGCTTTGATTTTTTTTAAGCAGATAAATGATATTGTTCCACTTCTTGGAACCGAATTATTCTCTTTAAATTTCCTTACGATAAATACTTCTTAATAAAAATTAATACGCATCTTTCACTTGTTCCTTGAGAAATAAGTTTCAAAGCCTATAATTCATTTATTTCTTGATGTTTGCTTTTTCTTTTTGTGACTATTTGTTTTAAATCATTCTGATTTGACCTTGTATCACTCGATTATTCGTTTTAGCGATACCAAGTATTTTGTTATGATTAAAGTTATTCATTATAAAAGTGCATATTGAAGAGA